ATTGAATTTTACAAATCTTCCTCAACCTGTAAACTCCAATAAAGTTACAATTATTAGTAATAATAATGGTAATTATCTAATTTATTGTTTAAATATTTAATCTTAATTATTTATTATTAATGATATTTTAAATCATAAACAATTATAGAATCTAAACAAATTGAATTAACTATGTCAGATTCCAAACAAATTGAATTAACTATACCAGAATAATTTTTATTTATCTGATTATTGAAATTTTCACATTAATTTTTTATTATTATCAAAAAAAATTTTTTTTAATGATTATATGCTATCTATTTTAAATTAAAGCAAACCCTCCTTATGATTGAAGTGATCTATCATAGTGGTGTATCCATCGATTATCTGGGTATTTGAGTACTTGGTCAATCAATAATAATATAGCTCAATTCCTGGATAATCAGTCAGTCAAAAAAATTCAAAATCCAGTGAAAATTTTCAACACACAATTAACTGGATAATTAGTGAATAATTGGTGAATATCATTTGGTGGATACAACCACTAACCTATCATCACATCTCTTATTATCATTTAATATTATTTATTATTTTATTAATATTTTTATATTATATATACTGTTTTAACATTTTTATCATCTATAAACACTATAATAATAATAAAAATGATCATTGTAAGATAAAAATCCACACCTCACAGTAAATCTCAATATTTTATTTATAATAATATGCCAACAATGTTAATACAATTTATTTATACTAAATCATAACAACAATTTCCATGAATGCATATTTATGCTTTACTCTCAAACTATCTTTCACTATCATCAAACAATTCCTTACAATAAGAAATACTAAATAATATCTTTAAATATCCTGATCATGTTTCTTGGTGGGTGTTGTGAGATCAAAATCTGCATCTCACACAAATCTCTTGGATTTTTATTTAAACTAATATTTATTTCATTTTATGGCAGTATCCAATTATGTAATTCTTTGATTACTTTCTCTCACTATAGCACTCAAGCTATTTAATTATTCACAGGGCAAGTTTCCTTACTTCCCTTCCGGTAATGTTTTCTCAGCAGCTCTTTGTTATCTGCCTGAGCCGGCACGTCTCAATGATATTTAAAATATCCAAAGTATCTGCTGTGATACTTTCTACACTGATTATTATATTTATGGCTCAGTTTCTTAACTGACCTCACCTAGCTAGGATTTCCACTATTTAGGCATTGGCCTAATCTAAATAAAAATAAAGAGAATAATATTAAGAGAAAATACACACACAACTATACTTATCAAAGGCGTCCCCCTGGTAAGATAGTAATTAATTAATAGTTAAGTTAGAGTTAAAGGTTTATGTGGTTTTGGAAGCAGGTGGATAATTCCACTGGCAATAGATTATTTTAAGAGATATTTATGTTTGTATTTTATTATTAAGATATTATTGTTGTTACAAGATAATAGTTAAGAATGAATTAACTGATTAACTGATTATTACATGAAAGAGAAATTTACAATGTATTTATACATGTTAAAGGTTCTATCATCTAGTTATCCGACTTTGTTGAAATCCTAATTTATACTAATTAATATATTCTTTAAATATCATTTGAACCTTCTGTGTGGAATTATTTTCAAGTTATTTCTTGTCAATGTGAGTCATGTAAAATTCTTTCATTTAAATATTATTCTGAGACTTGTAATCTGTTACACTTTAGAATGTTGGAATATTTATATCTCCAATATTTGGGTTATTTTCAGAGAGCTATTTATTTGATTGGTGTGCCTTATTAATTAGTGTAACATTTAATCGTTTTCAAATTTTCACATGTAAATCATTTCCAATATATATGTTCGTTTCCTGTGATTTATAATTTACTATTTTACAATACATATATCAGATATATATGGGACATGCTGCAACAAAACCAGACAAAGTGAACATTGGTATTACCAAGAATTTTAGGGATCAAAATTTAGCAATGTGATTATTAAAATTGCCCATTTGTCATCTTCTTAATATTAAGTGATATGTAGAATTACCTCTATTAATATAATTAATTAAATCATTCGGAAAAGTAATACAAATAAATATAGAATATAATAAAATTAAAAATAAATAATAGATAAAATAAATAGTTAAAAATAAATAATAGATAACTAAAAATAAGAAATAAATAATATAAATAATATAAAATAATATAGAAAAGATTACTCCGGATTTTCGGGGTTATCGATTAGCGAATTAAGGTCCAATTCGCATTCCGGTGACAATACTTTAAATTTTTTCATGATAATTCCAAAAACTTTTGTCTGAATAAATAAATACTTCATTAAAATGAACATTATAAAGAGAACTTGGAGATTTTTTTTTTAATCTTGGCAAATGTGAAGTAATCATTTTCAAGTAAACTAATATTTGACACAATATCTTTTTCAAAATAATAAAGACAAAGTCAAATACCCTTTCCACTATCACACTATAATTTTTCTCTAATGCTGTATTTAAAATTATATTCCCATATTTATTAAAATATAAGAATCATCTAGCATATACTGTATAAAAACATTTCATTGTAAGAATATTTGGCATTGTCAATTATAATCATGATGTTATAGTTTAATGTTATGTAAAAAAAATTTTTTTGATCAAAAGTCTTGAAACCCATTTTTTCTAGAAGTTATTACAGCATATAAATGTAAAATTTTCTAATGCCCTTATTATGTATTGGTGTTAAAATAATTACTTTTGGTGTAATTAGAAAAAAAAATTTTCTTTTTGAAAAATCAATGAAATAAAACTTTAGACATAAAAAAAACTTCACTACTACTTCTCTTTTACCTTGGGAAACAAAATTTTTTGGATCAAAAAGTGTATTTATTTTATTTGAAAAGTTTACAAAGTAAATGTGAAATCTTAGTGTGTAACATTCATATTGAACCCCTTTCCCCTAGCTAGCATTCTATATATCCTTATTTTTTATTTGATTGTAAGTGTGACCCACACTATACAATTAAAAATTGTAATCTCAATTTCAACAGAATAATTATCCTTATATATTTGATTGAACCTGGTTCTTCAATAGAGTGTAAACCCCTGATTTTATACCTTCATAATCATTTGTGATCCTTTAATTTGTTGCTATGAAAATAATTGTAATGTAATCATAAATAATTATATCATAAAAGTTAAAGGCAAAAGACAAAACAAAACAAGTAAAATATTCTGTTTACCTCCACCATTGTATAAAATTTGTGTGCACGACCCCCTTAAATTGTGCACAATGAGACAAATTTTTTTGTGCAAGCTTTCTACAAAAATTTTTAAATATAGTACACAAATTCAATGAGAAATTTTTGCACTATATATTACATTTTTCTATATATATAGTCCACAAAAAAATCAAAAAAACTAAACCATTTACAATTTTTAAGCAACTTTTGCACAAATCCTCAAAAAATTTTGAGCAACATGCATCAGTGAATTTTATACACTGACCTCCCCACCTTAGCAAAATAGCAAGTTGTCTACAAAAAAAAAACAAAAAAATGATACAGTTACATCATCAGACTATTTAAACTTCAAAATAAGTAAGCCAGTAAATATTGCCCGTTTCTTCAGACTCTTCAGTAAGTTGATAAAGTGTAAGTTTTTCCTTTCAAACAGTTGTTTCAATATTTCATGGATCTCAATTAAATTAAGTGGTATTGAAGGCAGACGAATTCTTCCTTTGATCAAATTTTAATGTCAATAAATGAAAAATATTATGTAGTTTTTGGTCTTGTTTATTATTCAGAATACTTACTGATCTTATTTGCCTATATCAGATGTGGTGGGTTTCAGTATTTTATATTCCAACACAAACCATTTTTTTAAAACTAGAATGATGATGAGTTGTAATGCATCACAATCACCACCATCACCATTCTTTTTTGATTCATCTAAAAAAATGGATGTATATATATATACAAAAAAATTTTTGATTGTACAAAAATCCGTTTTAATTAATATTTGTAATAATAATTACATAACTAAAAATAATATTAATACATCTTCAACATTCATGACAGGAGAAAGATGTGGTCTTTTTAATTTTGATTGATATGAATTTGGTTCAATTTTAAGCCATTTATCAGACTCTTTGCAGGATATATAGAAAATGCGTACCTTATTAAAAAAAACTCCAAGTTCAACATAGCAATTCATATTCCCAGTACGAGTAATGTACTAAAAAGTACAGACGCACTTTCTACATGCCATTTTTTTTTTCTTCAGTACGGTACGCAATTTCTACATGCCGTTATTAATAGGTCATGCGAGCAATTTCCGGCTAACATCACTAATAAAATATTAATATTAATAAAGTTTGATTTCTGCTAATAATAACCAATAAATAGTATGATTCCTTTGTCGATTATGCTGTATAATTTTGGTGCTCTTTTGATGCTCCTTGAAAGAAAATGATCTTTCGATTTCAAATTCTTTGCTCAAGTTTTAAACGTGAAATTGGGGCACTTTGAAGTTAATTTGTAATCTTTTTGATGTTGCGTTTTATCTGCATCAGAAAACCATTCATCGTAAGGGTAAAGTTCAATGAAGTTTCTCTAAATAGATGAATTTCGGTCCCTATAAATAAATTCATTGAATTCTGTTGTTTAGTCTCATCTGAATTTATACACAACTAATTGACACAATGATTTTTTTTTTTAAACAAATTTATTTAAAATCTCCTATCGATCAATAATAACCAGTAGATTTATATATATAAATTCCGGGGCACATTTAAAATGTTTTTTTTGTTTGTGGCCATTTTAAAAGCAAGAAATTTATCATAGTCCGACAATCTTGTATGTTATCTAGTATTGATGAGTGATCCCCAAATTAAAAGGCCCTTTCCTTATGAAGAGGATAGAAATCAAGATTTCTTTTCAAACTAGTCGCACTGCCTTTGATTTTAGTTAAATTAAATTTAAAGATGATAAAGATAATAATTTTAAATTGTATAAATTTAATTTTCCCGCGCTCAAATTTGGAGATGATCAACACGGAAGAATTTTTTATAAACTGGATTAAATATTACACGATAAAATGTTGAATTAAAACCCCAAAGTATCGACATAAATTATTCCATAAATTCCAACAAGATTTCGGTATAAATAAGAGTTATGAACTCAATGATTAAATTAAAATTCAAAAATTCTACTATCCCAACATTCTTTAAAGATAAAGGTAAGATTCTCAGATAATAATTCCTTTCTAATTAAAACGATTTAATTTATTCTCTTCATAATATGTAGTGTTATCACATCATAGTAAACTAATAATCATCTTGGAATAATAAAACCACTATTCAAGACGGCACCGAATTAAAGGATTAATCTTCATACTAATTCCGTCCAAATTTTTATTAATAAATAGAGGAATAGGTCGTTGCTATAACAGATTATAAAGTAATATTGATTGAATAAGGCGTTTCTATAGCGAGACATATTTATTAAGAAATCTATACTTAACTCGGACATGGTCTCACAGCATGTAGTAATATCTTCTTTTTATTTGCTTATCATTGTGGATTACTGATTTTTAAACCTTTTACCTTTTTATAAGTTTTGTCAAGAGTGTAAGTATGCGAAGCTTTATACTATACTATCACCATCACAGATTTTATTATTAATAGTTATAAACAAAACACCATGCCAATCTATTAAAAAACAATGGCGTTAATTGACGATATCATGTCATTTTATATAAGTCGATAAATTGATTTGTCAAATTTGCTTTTTGTGTACACACGCTCATATTTATTTTTTTAAATATTACCAGTGATTTATATATATGATATATACATATATACATATATATACATATATATATAATTTGATTAATTAATTAATCATTCTAATTCGCCAACCATTCATTATCTGATTGTTTATTTACTATTTCATTTATATCAATCAACTTATAATCATAATTATTTATTTGTAAATGAACTCTTTGATCGGCAGTCAGATGACGTATTAGTCAGCTTGATTTTGTCAAATAGGTTTTTGTCATATGATTGGATTTTCAAACATTTAACCTTTTTATTATTTTATTATTAATTACACGAAAAATTTAGTTACGGGGAGGAAATAAAGAAAATATTAATATGTTTGTGTGTGTCTTGTGTTGTGTGGTTCATGTGATGCCATTGTATAAATAATTAATTACAAATGACATTATAAAAATGGTAAACGAATATAAATAATAATAATACGAAAACGAAAAAACGAAAATAAAAAAACGAATCGAAGGATAGAAGACGAAAGAAATTAAATTATACAAGTATTAATAAAAAAAAAAATATAATACAAAAGGCAGAAATAAATAACGCCTCATAAACTTCCTTCCCAAATTACTAAATTCCCTCTTCCTCCTTCACAGATTCTCTAAACCAAAATTATTATATATATATATATATATTACATATATCACACAGATATAGAGATATCTTTATTATTAAGTTGTAATGAATAGTATCTCCATTTTAGGTGAACGACTGGAAAAATAAAATAAATTAATTAAATATTCAAAAATATCAAATCTATATTTAATTAAATTAATTTTACCTTTCTTTGGCTTTATGAATTGTTGGTTTTATGCTCTTTTGTATTTTGAATGGTCTGTGTGGTCCTTTACATAGTTTTTGCACGTAAATATTCTTAATAGAATTGGGAGTTCTACCGTTGCCGATTTTTTTTGCGATATCTCTCCATCTGAGACCTTCTTCACGTAATTTAGTAACCTCCAATTCTTCTTCACGACTAAATGGTTTCTTATTTACTATTATGATGTTATTCGTAAATATTAGTATATTTCATAGATTTATTGAAGTAATTATGTAAATATATTTAATACCTACCACCAAATTTAAGATGACCATCCCATCTAAATATACATATATCATGTGATTAATTATTTATTTTAAAAAAAAATTTAAAAAACGGTTAAAACTCGCAATTTACCTCTCTCTACATTGCTTAGGATTTCGAATTTTCAGACAATCTGCAGCATCCTTCCAATTTCTTGGACCATTTCTGTCTACATATTCTACCAACATCTTATCTTCCTGTATGATTTATTATGGCAAATCATTAAAATTTACTTATAATAATAATAAATAATGAATGATATATTATATATATATATATAATTACCTCTTTACTCCAACGACCTTTTTTAGCAACTGCTCCTTTTAACATTATTAAAATCTCACTCGAAAAAAATCTAAGAAAAAAAAAACAAAAAAAAATATTCTAAAATTCTATTGCCTTTATTTATAAAAAAATTAAATAACTTGTGTGTTATTATTCTATACTAAAAAAATTCTAAATCAGATTCTAAAGCAAAAAGTCACGTAAAATTTACAATTATTATTTAAAAATTTTTAAAGGACAAAAAAAATTTGTTTTTTTCGGACTACAAGAAGTTTTTATTAACTGCATTTATATAATTTTTTTCTAATCACTAACCCATTTCTCGTTGCTCCTGTGACCTTTATGTGATGGAAAGAATTGAAAGAACCATATATAGATCATCTGATACGATTATTTTATTTGTCCTCTTCTTCTTCTTTTTCTATTAATACTTCTGACGATTTGACACGATATTCTTTCATTGTTGTGATTATTTGTTTATGCGCATGTGCCATTCCATTTATTATTGTTTTTGCCATTATCACAAATCAGTTTTTTTTTTTGAACAGGGTCAGGTCGGGTAAATCTGTGAATAAATCTGCGATTGGATGAATGGATGAATGGATGAATGTTCATGCTAGTTACGTAAAATGCATTGTCTTTTCAGGTTATTGTTTCACATACGGCATATGACTTTTTATTAGTTATATTGGTTATTGGGCTATTTATTTTAAAGCCCCGTGAAACCTATTAAATAATATATATATATATATATATATAGAAATTTTCTCGATTTTCTATTTAACGTAACATAAATAACAAATAATAAATTAAAATAGAAATGACATGTGAGTCAAAATTTAAATTAAAAAAGATAAAAAAGATCATGGGCCTGTCCTAAATAATAAATGATTTGAAATGATGATAATGATAAATAAATTATCTTATCTTCGGATATTATAATTTTTTAAGTTCAAATTCATTATTATTATATTAATATTGTGACCCAAGTTTTTAAAATTATTAATTAATTGACGCATGTGCATATTGTTTTTTTTGATTAGATCATGAGTTAAAAAGATACTAATACACATCTATTTATTTCTGCAACGATAATTTAATTTTGTTGTTTTCCTTAAAAAAAAAAAAATTTTTTTTTGAAAAATTCATTGTTTTTTATTTTTTATTTTTATATATTCTTTTTTAATTGTGCGCGTGCATGTAATTATGCATTATCATTTGGTCACATTTTTTAATTTTCTTGGGAGAAAAAAAAATGCAAACTGTTGGGTCATATGACCACAAATATTTTAAAAAGAAGGTATACTTTAATGGTAACTTGCACAAAATCAAATGTTATAATAATAATAAAAATGGATGATAATAATAATAATAGAAAATAATCCGCTCCAATTGACCATTGACTAATTAATCTATATCAATTTGATTACTCTCTTCGTCCTCGTCCTCGTCAGCCATCATTTCTGTGTCATTATAATCACCTTGCTCGTGATTCCTTGTTATCACCAAATCACTATCATCTGACTTTGTTGTTACAAACACCGCTTCACCATTTCTCACTCCTCCATCTAATTAAGTAATTGATAATTAATGATTAGTAATCGGTAATAAAGAAAAAAAATAAAAAATATTAATAAAGAAATAACTATACCATCAACAATTAATGAATGACCTACCAATTAAAAGTCTGCTCAATGGATTCAATATTTTATTCTTAATTAATCGATTTAATGGTCTTGCTCCATAAACCACATCATATCCGCTTTCTGCCAACCAATCCATTGCCTTATTATCCACCTTCAACACAATACTTCTCTCATCTAGTTTCTTATTAAGTCTATCTAATTGAACTTGCACGATCTTGTAAAGGTCTATATTGAAAAAACATAAACGTTGAATAAGTTTTGCAACTATTGTTGTAAAAATTATTATTATTAATTATACACTTACGTTTTCGGCCAAGCGGTCTAAATATTAGAATATCGTCTAATCTATTTAAAAATTCTGGTCTAAAATGTCTTCTAACATCATTCATCACTGCCTCTCTCACCGTATCATCTATTTCGTCTGATGTCAATCCTTGAAGATGATAATATCCTAAATTACTATATAAATAAAAAACATGAAAAAATAGGTTAAAATTGGAATTAAATATTACTTGTGTATATATATTATATGCTCATCATATATACCTTGTTAATATTATAACTGTATTACTAAAATCCACATGTCGACCTTTTCCATCTGTCAATCTTCCATCATCCAATACTTGCAATAATATATTCGTTACTTGCGGATGCGCTTTTTCCACCTCATCAAATAATATTATACTATAAGGTCGTCTCCTAACCGATTCTGTCAATTGTCCTCCTTCATCATACCCAACATATCCTGGGGGCGCTCCTATTAATCGTGCAACAGAATGACTAAATAAATAAATAAGTAAATCGGTTAGTTAAAATTATTTATTAAATGAAATTTTAATCACTAAAACAATTGTTTATACCTTTCCATATACTCTGACATATCAATTCTAATTATATATTTTTCATCATCAAAAAGCTCTTGTGCGAGCGCTTTACTAAGTTCGGTTTTACCAACACCAGTGGGCCCCAAGAACAGAAATGATCCTAATGGTTGATTCTCTCTTGCTAATCCTGCTCTGCTACGTAATATGGCATCAGTGATGGTCTGGACTGCTTCATCTTGCCCAACTACTCGTTTTTTCAATGAATTGGCCAAGTCAAGCAGTCGCTCAGCTTGCGTCTTTGACAATCTGGTCACAGGTATTCCAGTCCATCTAGACACCACATCCATAATTTGTTCAGGTCCCACCGTATCTGTTAACAATGTATTATCAGTTGAACCATCTGCACCATTCGTCATATTCTGCTCTTGTATGGTCTTTTGTGATTGTAAACTTTGAATACGTTGTTCAACCTCTGGTATAGCATAATATTTTAAATCAGCCAATAAGTCAATATCTGCTCGAAGTTCGGCATCCTCTGCCTTGGCCTTTAACTCATCTAATTTTTGTTTGAGTGTTCTAATCTCATCCAGTAGACTTTTATCATGCTCGTATCTTGCTTTAAGTGGTCGCAATTGTTCTTGTATACTGGCCATTTCTTCCTTAACTTTCTTTAACCGTTCTTTACTTGGCTCATCTTTTTCTTTCGACAATGCTGCTGCCTCCACCTCAAGTTGTAAATGTCGCCTATCCAGCTGATCTATTACTTCAGGCCGTGAATCCAATTGAACTCTGGTGTTCGCACATGCCTCATCCATCAAATCAATTGCTTTATCAGGTAAAAACCTATTTGTAATGTATCTGGATGATAATTGTGCTGCTGCCACAAGTGCCCCATCTGTTATCTTAACACCATGGTGATTTTCATATCGTTCTTTCAATCCACGTAATATGCTAACCGTGTCCAATACTGATGGTTCACCAACCATCAATTGTTGAAAACGTCGTTCAAATGCTGCATCTTTTTCCACATATTTTTTATACTCGTCTAATGTTGTTGCACCAATACAACGTAGTTCACCACGCGCTAACATAGGCTTGAGTAAATTGGCCGCGTCCATTGATCCTTCAGTTTTACCAGCTCCCAACACCAAATGAATCTCATCTATAAATAATATAATTCCTTCTTCCGATTCTTTGATTTCTTTCAATATTGATTTTAATCTTTCCTCAAATTCACCTCGATACTTTGCACCAGCTTGATTATAAAAAGGAGGAGAGAGAAGAGAATAAGTGATTTATAATTATTAATTATGCAATTATTAAATTGATTATAATGAAAAAAGAAAATGCCAAAGTAAATATACCAATAAGTGCACCCATATCTAAAGAATATAGCTTAGCTTCTAATGACCTTGGAACATCTTTTCTCACAATTCGTTGAGCAAGACCTTCTACTATGGCAGTTTTACCAACACCTGGTTCACCGATTAATACAGGATTGTTCTAAACAAAAAAAAAATAAAAAAAAAATATATATATATATATATATAAATAAAATTATATAAAATCAAACAATCTATTAATTGATTTAATCGATTAATCGATTGGTTAACCTTGGTTCTTCTAGCTAAAACACGAATCACGCGACGTATCTCATCATCTCTACCAATAACTGGATCAAGTTTTCCTGATTTTGCTAATCCTACTAAATCAATTGCATATTTATTTAATGCTTCGTAATTCTCATCTGCACTTTTAGTTTCTACCCTTCGATTTCTAATTATTGTATCAAAAAAATCAGTTAAATAAATAAGAATAGATAAATTAATATTGATTAACTAATTAAATTATTATTAATTTTTTTTCTTTTCTATCATATAGCATACCCTCTAACTTGTGAAATTGCATGTTCTAAAGCTTTTTGCGATACGCCTGAATCCACCAAAACCTGTTTAGACTGGGAATCTTCATACAACCCCAATATTAAGTGATCTTGTGAAATGAAACTATCTTTCTGACGTTGCTGTATATTATGAGCAGCTCTTAAAACTTTGTGTGCTTGAGGATTAAGTGCTATATCATCTGGTGGTGGATCTTGTGTTGGTTGTCGTACAAGTAACTTTTTGAAATTCCTTTCTACTATTACAGCATCACCGCCTGCTTTATTAACTAAATTTTTAAATAATGATTCTCCCTCTTTCTCATCCAACATTGCACATGCTAAATGTGCTGGTGCTATTTGTACATGTGCATATTCACGGGCTAAATTAACTGCTGTAGAAATTGTTTTTTCTACTTTATCAGTAAATTGGTAATTATTCATCTTTGAATTATTACTATAGTGATTATGATTGTTTATTGTTATTTTTTGAAAATTAATCCTATTTTTAAAAACAAATTACTATTTTATTTATCGTCGTTTTGTCGTTTTTTTAAAAAATTTTATAATTTATTTTTTTAATAATGATGTAAAAATTTTTCATTTATATAATTTTTTCACTATCATTCGAGAATCGACTGGCCAATTCTTTATCATAAGATTATCTCGTTAATTCTAGCCATAAATAATTTGTAATTCACACGCCACTGACCCTAAAAATTACAATATCACTATGGGGCCGATCATCTACCTCCATTTGTGTTACAGCAAAAAGCCGATCGATAATAATAAATTGAAAGGTTCTTTTGATTTATCGATTTACTTTTTGAGCTGACATAAATAGATTTATAAAAATGGCATTTTACTAATTATTTGTAAACTTCAAACTGTATTTGGTAGACCTGTTATTCGTCCAATAGGAATACCCGGGTTTTTTGATGACGCGTCTTGATTTTATTTTATTTTCACTATTTTAATTAAAATATCCCTAGCTTCAAAACAAAAGAGAGAAAAGAAAATCAAGAATATCCGATGGAAAATTCAGCTCAAAAAAAAATCAAAATACATAGGTAGACTCGATAAGTCAGTTTTGGCCTAACTCGGCCAAAACTTCTTCAGCCCTTTTTTTCCCTATTTAAAATCCCTTGATAAGTCAGTCAACCTATATAAAGTCGCGCGATAAGTTGTAAAGTCAGCAAACCCCTCTTTTTTTAGGATAAGTAAATTGTTCTCGATAAGTCATCCTCACGTGACATTTTCATTAAATAAAAGATCATCATTACTATTACTACTTTTAATAACGTATGATTTTTTTATTTATTTATAGAATTTTTATATCTGATGATTTATTTCATCAGCTTATATCATTAATTTAAATAATTATTGTTTTAATTTTATAATAATAAAATTTTCAACACAAAAAATTTTTATGTCACGTGCTCTCTGTAAGACGCTCTCGACAAGTCAGCCAAACATGCTCAGTCATTCGCGGCTGACTTATCGAGTTTACCTATGTAGGCATTAATTCCAGTAATGGAATCGTTTCAAATTTATTGGAAGGTATTGATGTAAGTGATCCTCAAACACTTGTGACTTATATACGAAGGTAAAATCCCCAAATTTAACTTTATGATAATTGGGGTCCAAATGGTTTATTTACAAAAGCAGCAGCTGGTACAATTAAGATTACAACCTATTTTCCAGCTCACAATAATTCATTGGAAATAAACGAAAATCTTGAGTTAATAGAAAGTTCAAGTAGATCTGATGATGACATATGGTTTAATAGCAGTATTGATGGAAAAACAAAGGATTTAAAAGTTGAATTGGACAAAGGACATAATATGATAGCTGGTGAGTTATAATAAAAAAATATCATCTATAAATCTATTGAAAAGAATAATGATAACAAGGTAAAATCAAGTTGGAAATGGTGATCCTTGGAAGGCACGTCAAATTTGTAAGACTACTAATTGTTGGTTAGGATTCGATAAACTTTCACTATCAAATAAAGGTAATCATCAAAAAACAATTAGACCGGTAGATGGTGATGTGGATATTGCAAAAAAAATTATGAAGTTGGATACATTAACAAAATTTCAATGCTTCTAAGTTTAAAGAATATGCAGAACAAGATTTATTGCCAAACATTGGAATTGTCAAGGAGAAGATGATATCTTTGACAAGATGTCGGCTTAATATTTTAGGGTATTTACATCAATAACATCATCTAGGCGTGTGTTTATATAAACCGTTCTTAAACGAGTATTTAAGTATACCCAATAACTCGGCAGCCCTTTTTCATGCACGGATAATTTTATTGAAGTTCCCACGTTTGGGCATGTGTAAAAAGCTACAGGAGGGGGCACATATGCGCTGATTTTGTTTGAACCCCAAAATCCAGTACGGTATGATCATAACGTTATGAATACTTTATACTAGCA